GTATCGTTGTGTCTCTCTGGTATCGTTGTGTCTCTGTGGTATCGTTGTGTCTCTCAGGTATCGTTGTGTCTCTGTGGTATCGTTGTGTGTATGTGGTATTGTTGTGTCTCTGTGGTATCGTTGTGTCTCTGTGGTATCTGTGTGTCTCTGTGGTATCGGTGTGTCTCTGTGGTATCGTTGTGTCTCTGTGGTATCGGTGTGTCTCTGTGGTATCGTTGTGTGTCTGTGGTATTGTTGTGTCTCTGTGGTGTCGGTGTGTGTCTGTGGTATCGATCTGTCACTGTGGTATCGGTGTGTCTCTGTGGTATCGTTGTGTTTCTCTATGGTATCGTTGTGTCTCTGTGGTATCGTTGTGTCTCTGTGATATCGTTGTGTCTCTCTGGTATCGTTGTGTCTCTGTGGTATCGGTGTGTCTCTGTATCGGTGTGTCTCTGTTGTATCGTGTCTATCTGGTATCGTGTCTCTGTGGTATCGTTGTGTCACTGTGGTATCGGTGTGTCTCTGTGGTATCGTTGTGTCTCTGTGGTATCGGTGTGTCTCTGTGATATCGTTGTGTCTCTATGGTATCGTTGTGTCTCTGTGGTATCGTTGTGTCTCTGTGGCATCGTTGTGTCTCTCTGGTATCGGTGTGTCTCTGTGGTGTCGGTGTGTCTCTGTGGTATCGGTGTGTCTCTGTGGTATCGGTGTGTCTCTGTGGTATCGGTGTGTCTCTGTGGTATTGTTGTGTCTCTGTGGTATCGTTGTGTCTCTGGTATCGCTGTGTCTCTGTGGTATCGTGTCTCTGTGGTATCGGTGTGTCTCTGTGGTATCGTTGTGTCTCTGTGGTATCGTTGTGTCTCTGTGCTATCGGTGTGTCTCTGTGGAATCGGTGTGTTTCTGTGGTATCGTTGTCTCTGTGGTATCGGTGTGTCTCTGTGGTATCGTTTTGGTGTCTCTGTGGTATCGTCTTGGTGTCTCTGTGGTATCGGTGTGTCTCTGTGGTTTCAGTGTGTCTCTGTGGTATCGGTGTGTCTCTATGGTTTTGTTGTGTCTCTGTGGTATCATTGTGTCTCTGTGGTTTCGGTGTGTCTCTGTGGTGTCGGTGTGTCTCTGTCGTATCGTTGTGTCTCTGTGGTATCAGTGTGTCTCTGTGGTATCGTTGTGTCTCTGTGTTATCGGTGTGCCTCTGTGGTATCGTTGTGTCTCTGTGGTATCGTTGTGTGTCTGGGGTATTGTTATGTCTCTCTCTTATCAGTGTGTCTCTGTGGTGTTGTGTCTCTGTGGTATCGGTGTGTCTCTGTGGTATCGTTTTGGTGTCTCTGTGGTATCGGTGTGTCTCTGTGGTATCGTTGTGTCTCTGTGGTTTCGGTGTGTCTCTGTGGTATCGTTGTGTCTCTGTGTTATTGGTGTGTCTCTGTGGTGTCATTGTGTCTCTATGGTATCGTGTCTCTGTGTTATCGGTGTGTCTCTGTGGTATCGGTGTGTCTCTGTGATAATTTGGTCAATGACTGGCTAGAATACAGAATTTTAAGGAATAGATGCGTAAAAAAATGCCTACTTGTCCTCCACTCTCCTGGAATCACATGGAAATGCCAGGATTTTCTGGAAAACAATCAAATGTATCGAAAAGGCATCCAAAACAAATCATCTGCCCGTTGAGCTTAACCGAAATGGGGAATATTTTTCAGATCCCAAAAAAATAGTTGACAATTTTAACCTTCATTTTTTTAAAGCTGGTAATCTTTTTGATAATGTATTGGGAGTCACCCTTGCTCATGCAAATTCCTACACCCCTGTCCAAACATTAAACGAATTTAGTTTCCAGCCAATCCACGAAAGTAATGTTCTGAAACAACTGTCCTACCTCAAAGGGTCCTCCTCTACCGGAGCAGATAGTATTCCCGTCTTTGCTCTACTAACTGTTGGTCACCTAATATACAAACCTATAGCCCATATTTTCAACCTGTCCATCAAAGAAGCATCAGTTCCTCTAGAGTGGAACATTCCTATGTCTGTCCACTTCACAAAGGGAGCCCTAAAGATGATCCAAATAAATTTCGATTTAAAGCTTTCGTGACTGCAGGGATTCATCTTCTTGGTTCTTTCGGTAAAGTCACGTAGAATAGAAATAAAATAATAAAACTAAAACGTAATAAAATACAATTCTCACGACGTTTTGGCCACAACACAAGTAGCCTTCCGCAGGTGAAGAAACAGGACTGTCTGGAAGACAGCGCTTGAGTGATTATTATCACTTTATTCTTTTATCTCCATTCTACGTGACTTTACCGAAAGAACCCAGAAGATGAATCCCTGCAGTCACGAAAGCTTTAAATCGAAATTCTCTCTTTATGTCAATGACTTGTGCACTGACCTGGATCATTCCAGGGTAAATCTTTTTGCAGATGACACGATACTGATTACTGCTGGCCGCTCTCCGGATGACGTGATTGCTTAGCTACAAGGTGATTTCAACAAACTACAACATCAGCTAGTTGCTCTTAAACTAGTCCTGAATACCTCCAAAACCAAGGTGCTATGCTTCTCACCAGGACTAAAGCAGGAAGTTATTTTTCCCCAATTACATTCCTTAAATTTATACACGATGTCACAGTAGTCAAGATCTATAAGTATCTTGGGGTCATCCTGGATTCAAAACTGAATTTTGAAGATCACATTGATTATATTGGTAAAAAGACAAAAATAAAAATTGGTTTTCTGTATCGACACAAGCACTGCTTCCCCCCAATGTTCCGTTTGGAATTGATAAAAGCTACCATACTGCCTCTACTTGACTACTGTGACATCATGTATAAATCAGCCCCAAGTACTGTACTGAAGAAGCTTGATTCCATCTATCACTCGGCCTTAAGATTTACATTGAACTGCCCATATAGGACTCACCACTGTGATCTCTACATTGGGTCAAACTTAACATCTCTTAATGTTCGACGGCTTGTGCACCAGATCTTATTTATTCACGATGTACTTACAAAAACATCCGAAGACTACCTGCTGGATCTCCTCTCTGTTTCAAAGAACAAATTTGACCTCAGGTCTTCGCTAATTTACCAGCTTCACATTCCCTATTACCGTACAAAAACTGGAGGAAGGGCCTTTGCTATTGATGCCCCCAGGGTCTGGAATGCTATTGCCAATAAACTGCAACTTGAATCGCTACCAATGAGAATTGGTAGCGATTCAATTGGTAGCGATTCAAGACTTCTCTCAAAACTGCTCTAGGAGTTGTACACCCCTAGCTGCCACTGCTATTCATTGGCGTAAAATAAAATAAAATATTTCTCTTCGGATGACGCTGCAAAGTATTATCTGTATTTTGATTTAGCGTGCTGATCTTAAAGGTGCATTGAAAAATTTGATACTCCGACTGATGCTTCTGTTGTTGTGGAGTAACTCATGCAGCCAGCTATGGCTCTAGGATTTGGTGTTACATGTTATTTATGTAGTTTATTGTAAAAATTCGGTCACAGTCCCTATGATCACTGTTACGTTGCAATTATGGCTTTATTTTTTGGTGATTTCGAAAAGTTTTTTTGGTTTGGACATGTTTGTTTTGTTGTAGTGCGGAGTTAGACTGATGGCCTTAATCTAAGTTGTCTTGTGGTTGTTGTTGTTGTTTGACTTGCATCCCACTGGGATTTTTTTTGCACACAGCGTTGGTGTACGGTGCTTTTTTCATGAATATTTCTGTTTTTTTTCATGAATTTTGTGTTTGCACAGTCACATAGTCACTTTAAGCTGTTTTCTTGTTCGTGTTCTTGTTTTTTTGTTTGGTGTGGTTGCACCCGATTCAAGACCCTAATGGCTCACAGGGCTATACCAAAATAAATAAACTGAAACTGAAAACTGAAACAAGGGGCCGAAATGAGGTTGCTCCGCAGGGTTGCCGGGCTTACTCTCCGTGATCGGGTGAGGAGCTCGGTAATCCGGGAGAGCCTCAGAGTTGAGCCGCTGCTCCTCCGAATCGAGAGGAGCCAGTTGAGGTGGTTCAAGCATCTGGTAAGACTCCCCCTGGAACTCTACCGGGCACGTCCTACTGGGCAAAGATCCCGGTGCCGGACCAGGACACGCTGGTGGGACTGTTGCTCGGCTGGTCTGAGAACGCCTGGGAATTCCCTAGGAAGAGCTGGAGTCTGTCGCCAAGGGAAATGGAGGTCTGGACCGCCCTACTCAATATGCTGCCACCGCGATCCACACCAGGACAAGCGGACTGAGAAACGAACCTGATTAGGATTCATAATTAGTTTCTGATTGTGTAATGCCAATGTTTAGATATACCCCTTCTGCAAATTAAGTTGTACAGTCTGTTCTCCTATAACGCCGCGTGTTTTTTTTCATAACGCAAATCGGTTATAACGCGATTAATGTATTAGGGATTTTTATGTATATAACACGGATGTGAATTGGATATCACGCAATTGAGTGAACAGAACTACGTCGTGCGAATAGGAATAAACGGTCGAACGGCTGCCTCGGCGTCGCATCACACAAGGCGGGATGTTGCTGGATACTTCTAGATGCTACCCACGCGCCTCAGTCTTTGTTCAACCTGCGTACGCATTTCACGCGTTATCGCTGTGCTTTACCCCGTATTATTTATTTATTATAACGCGATTTTCCCATAACGCGGTGTTCTTCAGGAACGCAACTACTGCTGCGTTATCGGAGAGCAATGTTGAACTTCTTTCGCACTGGACGTAGCCAACCGTGCTCATCGGAGGTGCGGGAAAAGTTGTCACGTGGGGGCAAATCATTTGGTTTATGAACAAAACCAAAGGAGAGTTGAAGAGCCCAAGCAAAATTGTGACAAATCATCAGCTGTTAGCTCTCTGCCAACGTATATTGTGAATCATACAATTGACCGAATTGAATATTTGATTTTGGAGTAGTAAAGGTGCTGCTATTTGTGGAATCCATCGCGCAAATGACATAGCTGATTAAATACATTTCCTAAATAACCAAATAACTGTTATCTCTTCAATAATAACACGCTCACCATGTATGCTGCATGAACATTTTTATTTTATGCAATGATAAGATACGTACTGCAACTGTCCGGTACAACAACATAGAATGCACACTGTTGGAATTAGCTGCAAAACACTCCACCTTCTGATTATTATTAGAAGGGAGCAACATCATAGGCAAAACAAACAGCTGTGTGTAGATCAAGAGGAATGCAACTAATTTGCATATCTATGCATTTTTCATGCACAACGTTGCAAGTGTATAATACAAAGAAAGCGAATTAAATTGGACACACAAAAGACACAGAGAACCAACCTAATGATTCCGGGATTGAAATGCGATGGCACCACGTCAGATGTGTTTGCAGTTGAAGCCATAACAAACAATGGCCATGCTGTAATCGACCACAATGTGCCTGCCCCTACGTGCAGCTGTAGTCTCGGCCACTCCACTCTCCGACTGGCTGGGCTGCTATTACCGAAAGATTCAGCAGGTGGCAGCACTTCCACGTGGCTTGGGCACAGATAGACGATTACTAATAAGGTTTTTTTTAATTTCACCAGGTAAAGGCCCACTGAACTATGTAGCTCTTTTACACAAGCGAACTGCCCACGGATCACAGCTCAATGAAGTGGCTGATCATGTGGAAATGTATAGCAGCCAAATACTCTAAACGCGCGTCTCTAAATGTGGAGGGAAAATTAACCAGACCACGGGGAGAAAATCAAACTCCAAATATACATGCGTCAGAATCGGGATCGAACCTGCGAACAACATGCAGGCGTGTTCAGACTCCCAGTGGCAGAGGATTAGGCTCTCCACTGCGGCACTCCCTACAGCTTTTTACAAAGCAGCTCATGTCATACAACACATCACCGTGGTACGGCCATGTGGGAATGGAGGTGGGACAATAATGTGGCTGTACCGCTGCTTAGTGAAGTGGCCACGCAATGCCATTTGCGGTTTTGTAAAATAAACAGATTCGCAAGTGAAACATATTATTTTATGAGACAAAGCAGAATAACAATGGAATGAGAATGCAGGAAAGGTCCTTGATAGATTTATACACGGTTCGAAATTCATTACGCTGGACCGTATACATGAGTACATGCGTACCGTTAAAATATATCTTGAGTCAAAGTCGCTGTAGATCAGACGGCACACAGACACGACGCCCGCTCTCCCACCGTCGTCACCAGGCGCCAGGGATGGCGACCCCACACTCGTACCAGTCCGCGTGGTACAGCCCGGACTCGGGCCCCAACACGCCTCGGGTCAGCCTCTGCTGCCTCTTGCTGCGATGGTACCCTGACAGAGCACGATGACGACGACGTGGGGACACCACACACATGCGCGTACGTCATGTTACCGTGGCGTCGCGGGAATGTGAAGGGTGGCGAATGAGTCCGTGGAGTATGGAGGGATATGACAGTGTGAAGTAGGCGAGTCGTGCCCAAGTAAGGCTACCCTGGGCCGAGTTATGGAACAGGAAATGGATAGAAATAATAGCGATTTCAATTCCATGCTCAAGCCCCATTGCTAGATCCCCTATTCTAGATTTGAAGCTTTCGTGACTGCAAGGATCCATACTCTTTGGTTCTATTCGGTAAAGTCACGTAGGTAAAAAATAAAACAACAAAAATCACGACGTTCGGCCACAACACAAGTGGCCTTCTTCAGGTGAAGGAACAGAACTGTCGGGACGACAGCACTTCAATGACCGCTGCTAAGATTCGCAGCGTCTTTTAAGCTCGATGGGAGGAGCAGGGCGCCTTGACAAAGGAGTTTACATATCAAAAATAGCTGTGTTAAAGTGTTGAAGCAGCAGGGTGTTAAAGTCAGAAAATTAGCTGGAGGATTAGCATGTTTTTGTGTAGAGGGTGCGGAGGATGGGTCACTGTGTGTGTGCAATAGAAACGGAAAAAAATTAAAGATCGGCAAGAATGTGCTGTCAGGGTAGAGTAGAGAAAAGGGTTTAATAGAAAGTTCGGAAGGAATATGCTTGGTATACCATTACTTGAAATTGCTGTTAGAAATTAGTTGACGTTTGGTATGATTGAAAACGTCTTTCCAATGGTTGCTTAATTTGAAACCATCCTCTCGGTTGAAGTTATGCCTGTGTTTGTATATCTGAATGGCTTCGTGGACAAATCTCTGGTGATAACCTGTAGGTTTACAGAGAACCTTGGTATCGGAGAAGACAATCTCATGATCACCCATAGCGTTGTAACAATGATCAGCCACAGCAGATGAATTCGTTCTGCCGTGTTTCAGATCTGATTTGTGCTCGCGAATTCCGTTAGAGATATGTCGTTTCGTCTCCCCGATATAGCAATCACCGCAGGTACAACTCAATTTGTAAACTCCGGGGTACTGTAAGTCAGGGATGACATCCTTCACGGATGGGATCAGGTCACGGATTTTGTGTACTGTATTGAACCGGACCAGGATCTTGTGTTTGTTTAGAATTTTGGAGATCTTTTTAGTAACGCCTGCTATATATGGTAGTGTGATGGTTTTGACCGGAGTATCAAGTGGTTGTTTCTGTATGGAGGGAGAAACAGCTTGGCGGATGGTACGGTCAGAGTATCCATTTCTCTTGAGGGCCAGGTGTCCATGTATTAATTCACTGGTCAGGTGGTGTTGGTCCGAAATGCAATGAGCCCTGTGGTATAACGTTTTGATGAGATAATTCTTTTGAGCTGGGTGGTGGTGGGAATCAGGCTTCAAGTAGGAATCTGTGTGGGTGGGTTTCCTGTAGACAGAATGCCCCAATGAGCCACCAGGTCTCCTTTCAAACAGAACATCCAAGAATGGTAGCTTGCCATCTTTCTCCACTTCCATGGTGAATTTGATGGCGGGGTGTCTGGAATTGATGTATAGATCCCCTATTCTTGAACCCGTGACAGCTCAATCCCAAGCTCGGCAACAACGATTCACATGCAACTGTTTATGGAATCGACGCTTTCCATTGGCTGTTCATTGCTCCCCATTTGGCTGCGTTGGGCTCACGCGCGCACAATCCCTCCAGATTTAACGGGGCTCACTCTATCGCGCTCTGGTGCCTTGGCGAGGCCTCCCTGTGCACTCACCGTCTATGCTTGCGAGGTTATCCAGTGGCTGCAATGGTCCCGTTTTCCCATCCCACGGGGAGTCCACAAACTCGCAGTGGTCCTCACCACGTCCGTCAGCATCTCCCAAGGCATAAAACGTGCCTGGGTCACGAAACACAACACACGGGGGTTCATCATTATTATTGCCCTTAATGTGGCTGTCCAGCCCTGTGGTCAGAGTGCATTCCTCCTAAGGTGGAAAAAAAGTTTGCGTTCTGAGAGCTGTGTTCGGCGGGGACGGTCTTGCAGTTCCTACGATCATGATTTGGGTTTGATAGAATGCCCTTACTCTTGGGCATCCCCAGTGGCAGCTGTCCCTGTGCAGCAAAATATGACTCAGCACCTGGCCTGTAAGCGAGCTTTAGTCTATCAGTTGGGGGGCAGCGGTTGCCATGCATAATCCCGATTGAGTAATTGAATACAGATGGCAGCTGTGGTTGCAGCGCATAGGTCACTGCGATGGGGACTGCCTGAGTGATGGAACTGGGACTGCGATGGGGGCTGAGTGACCGAGTGATGCGTGGTTACCCCGGAGGTCTTCCCCCAGGTAGATCTTGTAGCGGAGGGAGTTGCACAGCGACACGCCCACGAGCTTGTTCTGCAGTGTGCGCTTCACGTAGCGCTTCCCGACGCAGGCGCTGGGTGCGCCGGGATCCGCATGGAATGCAAATGGGGTCCACACGGATGACATTCCTGCACGCGTATGCAACGGATATAGCAAACAGGGGCTAGCATGTTTCATGAACAGTGATGCACACATCAGCAGCGGCAAAAGCAGCAGAAGCAAAGCCACGCTCCGCCTTGTTAAAACTCATTCGCCCCCCCCCCCCCAACCACGGCAGAGTGGTCAGATCTCACTCTGCAGTCAGTGATCTCAAGAGTGAAAATATCTCCACGTTCAAGCGAGTGTGTTGGGGGGTGGGGGGGGCATCTTCCCTGGCCACGCCGAGGCTGCAGAGGGAATTGCACAATGCCACGGTGGCAATCGTGGCGTGTCGACATTTCAAATTATGGGCCAACAGGCAGCCAACCCCCAGCCTGTTTGGGATTTTAAGTCTTCTCACAGCTGTTCCTGTGTGAGCCCGTCGACACTGCCAAGTAGGCAACCTTACTCAATCACAGCGGGCGGCTACCGACCAGCACGAGGCACAGGCTGCCTTCTGAACGGGAGACCGTCCAGCCAAAACTTAGACAATGCACACACACAAACTTGGTGAAGGATAATGACCTCACCAGCTTTCATTTCATTACAGCTAAAAACAATGTTTTGGGCCATAAAATACAAAGACTGTCCAATGGCGCGCACACTGGCGTAACTATGCACATCCCAATAATGTTTTGGTGAAATGACACAGGCCAAGCTGGGACGTGCCGTGCAGAGCAACCAACACGAAGATCAATAAAGGCCAGGGCCTTCCATAGGGGGGTGCGGGGCCAGGGGCAAATCACGCTGTGTGGGCTCCCCCCCCCCCAAATCCCACTGCCCCCTTACGCCTTCAAACTAAATGGGAACTATCACATTGGACACCGTGACGTCGAAGCGCGGGGCCCCCCAACGCATGGGGCCCGGTGCGGTCGCCCCAAACCTCCGTATCCTAGGGACAGCTCTGCTGAATGCGCTCGTGATACGGACACAGACATGAAGCCCGTTAACTGTGATTTCCATCAGAAGGTGAAGTATGTATGCTGAACTTCGTTCACACCATACGTAGCCAACCGTGCTCATAGGAGGTGCACGATAACTCGACATTCTCTACGTACAAATTGAACAACACGGTGGAGAAGGCAGCGTCCACTCGCGGCTTCTCCCGCCCCGATAGCGGAGGCACCAATTTGCGAGTCTGTTACCATCTCACTGGTATTTTTCCAGCCAAAAAATGTTGACTAAAATAAATAATACCCAGACAGAGCCGCATGGCGGAGTGCTCCGTGCTGTGAAGGTGAAGTACAGTAGCAGCAGCACCGCTTTGAAACTAGATTAACGCAAATTCACACGAATGCTATTTAAAAAAACATCACCTTACCTGCAGACTTGTCAGCAACTTCCTTGCTCTCTGCAAATAAAAAATATATCACTTTGGTGGTATAGAGTTTAACAAACGTGGGTTTAAGCGACAGAATATTGATTGGCAAGGCTTTGCAATGTAGAGACTTGTCAGTCCACTCTGAGGCAAATAAACATCATGCTTTGTTAAATGATCCCTAAGGCTAAAGTCATTGAAGTGTGGTGCAGCCAATTTTCCCGTCGTGTTAATTACCTGATCCGGTGACAAACGTCACAATATTCGAGGAGACCTCAGGCTTTGATTGGCTGTCGATTTTAACTTTGAAGAAGTATCTGAAATAAAATGCAGCGTTCAGAGTGAATTGAACGTTACCAACGTGCGGCATGCCATTGACCCAACACATTTGTTTTGCAAGGGAGATCCGAGGAAAACGTACACGTGAAAGGACGTACGCAGTATACATTGAGCGAAATTGGAGAAATATCACGTCTGCTTCACTGCTGTAAGTTTGCCGTTGTCATATCTGGACGGATTGTTACACCGCAGGATCGTGAGAGGTGGCGGCAGCTTGTGGAGGCCTTCATCCAGCAGTGGATTGACCATAGCCGATGATAAGGGTGTGATACACTTTCAGTAATGTGTAAGAGTGATTTTTTTTTATTAAAGACATTGGTACTCGTGGAGCTTTGTTCCCTCGAATGAAGGCAGTTCCCGTGCTCCTTGGCTCGAGTCCTCCTCGGTCGGGGTCCCTCGTGTTTGTCGCGGTAGACGTCAATGTGAAGCGGCCAAATTACAAACGTACCCGAGGAGGAAATTACTCCGTGTGTAATTTCAGAATCACAAAACGAGAAAGAAATGTGAGCATCTTGCGAGCTCATTCTGATCTGCGTGCATAGGCGTCTTTTTTCCATTCAACGTAAAAACGTGAGGGAAATATATCTGCACGGTTCTATCCACCCTCGGTTGGCCGTGAATCATTATGAACAGTTGCGATGATGATGATGATAATGACTATACCAGCTGCAGTGGTAAAAAGCGGAGTAAAGTTCCCTCTATAGGTTCTAGAGTGCGCCGCTGCCATGTGGGTGTGGATTCTCTACTTCTCGTTGGGTTGGAGGTTCTCCACTGGGAGAAAACTGCTGTTGGTGAATCCCGCTGTGAGCCATCTGTGTTGGTTCATCCCTGATGAATTCGCTACTTGGACCACGTAACCTGTTCACACACACATACGGAGAAAACAAAACCCACCGTTAAACTCCAGTAACGAGTGGCCGATACTCGGTGTCGCATCGAAGCCTGGCGATGCCAGGTGAGTGCTTGGGTTTTTGTTTTTGCCGCGAGAAACACAAGGGACCCCGACCGAGGAGGACTCGAGCCAAGGAGCACGGGAACTGCCTCCATCCGAGGGAACAAAACGTACCAATGTCTTCAAATAAAACACATTTTTACGCTTACCCATTTCTGAAAGTGTATCACACCCTCATCATCGGCTATGGTCAATCCACTGCTGGATGAAGGCCTCTCCAAGCTGCAGCCACCTCTCATGATCCTGCGATGTAACAATCTGTCTAGCACCTGACTTCATCATTCCGTCTCCACGGTGGGTGGCTTCTCGGATGAGTTGGCCGCCACTCCGTTATTATTTTGGACTATCAGCCATCATCCCTGCTAACGACGTGTACTGCCCAAACCCTCTAATCCACATGTGGTGAGATGTCGTGGGTTCGAACCCGACCCTGACGCCTGAATATTTGGAGTTTGCATTCTCTCTACCAGTGGTCGCGTGGATTTTTCTCCGGGTCCTCCAGTTTTTCCCTCCAAATCTAGAAACACGCGTTTAGAGTATTTGGCTGCTATACATTTTCACATGATAAGGCACTTCGTTGAGCTGTCATTTGTAGCCAGGCCACTTCTGAAAAACAAGCGACATAGCTCAGTGGGCCTTGCCTGGTAAAATAAAATTAAAAGTTTAGTTTGGTTTATAGTAATTCCAAGCATACATCTCTCCACGCCTCTTAGGACACTCTCAGCTTTTGTTCCATAATTTTCATTCGTGATCGTGTTTCTAAGCCACTTGTCGTGGCAGGCAGTGCACACTGAATACAAACTCTGCTCTCTAGGCACACCGCTGCGTTCCTGCTCATGACGGAGTTCAGATTTACAGAAGCACTCCAACTCTGCTTTCGGCCTCCTCTTTATTTCATCGTTATAATTCCGGCTCTGCTTTCAAACTGCCCTAGGGCTCACACACCCTGCTGTGTGTTCCTGCGGAGTCTCTCTGACAGGCGTCTAAAGTAGTCGAGTAAACATGTTACACGTGGCCGTTGTTTTGCTAATATTTTTCCTGAGGCATTGTCATGAGATAGGAACATTAGAGGCCCCATTTCGTGCATCCATGACTCAAAGTTGTGAGTGGAAGCCAGAAAGCGAGCCGGGTTTTGGAGCGAGGCCAACTCACGCCCGCTCGATCACAGGGTCATTCCTACCGCATGCCCTCCGTCGTACAACATTCTTAACCAAACCTTCAGGTGGTGGTTTTCCATTGTATTCGGTATTATGAGCCAGACTTTACGCCTTCGTCAGAAAAACTCTCCCGCAGACACCGAAAGTATCCAGGCAGATGTGAAGGCAGCTCCACTGTGTTCCTCTACCGTGCACGAGAGTGCCGCACGGCTGTGTGTGTGTGCAACGCTACAGCAGTTCCACACGTGCCCCAAATGAATTCCTCAGACCTGGGTCTAACCACAGAGTTGTTTTGACTATTCGTTATGTAGGTTGGCCGCGATGATGCCAGTGATGGCACAAAGATGCAGTTGCTGATAGCGAGGTGTGCAGCGGAACGATTCTTACCGGTAGCACTGCCATTGTCCGTCTCCCCAGGAGGCATCTCCTCGGGGCTCCATTCCAAGACCACGAAGGAGGGGCAGCCTTCAACAGCCACGACTATAGGCTCGATTGGCTGTGCTCCCATCGTGCCAGCAATCGTTACTTTTCCAGAGCTCTCTTCTATTTTTGTGTCCCTTAAATACCTAAAGGTTCTTGAAAGCTGAATGTTTTTCTTGGTTTCCAAATGGTTCTGGATCTGCTCGAGAGCATCGGAGATGGAACAGAGTGACCCCGCTTCCTTCTTCAGCAACTTCACACGTGGCTCTGCAATGAGAGCCACACGCAACGCTTTCATTGTCACGCACCGTCATGGCTACAGGCCAAGCCACACCTGCACACTGTGAACATAGTATGCCTACCACACAAGAGTGCCGATACCATCATTAGGGATTGCACCCTCTCTTCAGCAGGGCATCGTATGGTATACGAGAGTAAAAGGTGCGTATTGGCACAAACAGAACGAGCAAGTAAATCATGAAACCTGGCTTCTATCAATCATCTGGATGAAGATGGTTCAATCAGCCAATCGGAAGGGGTGACCAGGTTTTAACTTAACATTGAAAAATATATATCAGATCTGATCAGATTCTGAAGCGAATAATAATGAGGACCACACAGAAATGAATGCTGGGTGATGAGATGGACAAGACACGAGAACGATTTGCTCCCGGTCACTTGAACGTCAAGCCAACATCACCACTGAGGTGGTCTCCTTGTATGGCATTTGGCAGCCGCTCTCCCCGACTCCCTCACCCAGTGGGAGTGAGTTGGTGACTTAAAAATTTCGATTTTAATTTATTAAGACTATGCAGCTAATATAACATATCAAACAGTGACATACATTGAAAAGCCCCTGAAAGTCGACTCAATAAATACAATGTATGACTTGATGAAATATGACTTATTTACCCAGAAAATCCATACCCTCCTGAAAAAGAGTCAAACCCAGGTGTCACCACTGCACCACCCTGCCTCCTGCTACACCGCTTACAAGAGGAGAAGCAAATACGATCGCCTACATGTTAAACTGACGATCGCGTTTCAACATAACGGGCTCCCGTAACGCGCGAAGTCGGACGTGAGCGAATCGCGACAACGGCGATCGCAGCTCCACCTGAGGGTGGAGAGCCGTCCGCAGCGCCCTCCTCCGTCTCCCGTGGAGCCGTTCCGTAGCCCACCGCCACACCGTCCGATACACTGCCTTCGTCTCCATCGACGAACTCCGACCCTGGCGCTAGCGCTACGGCCGGTGCCGTGTGCCGACCGCCGCCGCCGCCGCCGTCGTCCTCCGCGCGACCGCCCGGGGTGGCAAGCCGGGCGCTCGCGTGCAGGACGACGCCGGCGGCACGGAGGAGGCCTCTCTCAGACTCCGAGTGGCTTGGCCCGGTTTTATTTCCGTCGCCGGCCGCTCGGCCGTCGAATCCGGCGACGAGCGTGCCTGCGCGCGTCAGCACGGGCTGCCGGGCTTCCGCTGCACACGGGACTCACGCGCGGATGATGAACATGAGCTCGCTGGGACGCGCACGAAGCGCACGCGAGAGCAAACACAATGAGTGTTTACCGTGACGCAGGTGGCGACAACACGCAAGGTTGTTATATCGTTGGGGAACGATTCAAACAGGAAAATGCAGTTGCGATTATTTACCGTTGGGCTTAAACAACAATTTGTAAAACCAACAATATACTGTTTAAGTTTAAAGGTTGGTTCCTAAATATTTTCTTTCCACGTTGAAAGTTTTTTTTTTAATCTTTGATTATAGCTGCTGAACACTGCTCTGCTCAAATGACACAACCACTCACCGAGCGCTGCTAATTGTCATCTGTGGCATTCACCAGAAATTTACCTAAAATTTAGGTGGTCACACAGAGTCACATGGGTGGAAGTCTCTTTTGAAAATAAATCAACAAATTTGAACTAATTCACACTAAAACTGAATTTGAAGCTTTCGTGACTGCAGGAATTACTCTTTGGTTCTTTCGGTAAAGTCACGTAGAAAGAAAATAAAATAAATAATAGAATACGACGTTTCAATTGCAACACAAGCAACATATCATCATGTGTGAATGAATGCAAGCTCGGAGAGAAACACATATACAGAGAGAGACAAACACAGACACGGAGAGAGACACACAGAGAGAGACACACAGAGAGAGACACACAGAGAGAGACACATAGAGAGACACACACGCAGAGAGAGACACACAGAGAAACAACGCCTCTGTGACGAGGCATTATATATAGAGAGGGGGGTGGGGCAGAGAAATTAACATGTCAATGAGAGTGGTAGGAGGAGAGAAATTGGAAGTTTGAGAAAACAAACCAAGTAAACTTAGAAATGTAATGCAATGCAACACAGAGAGTCGACTAACACAACAGTTAACACTTTACCTGGTTGATTACGTTCTTCCAAAGATTGATAAATTTGAAGTTTAAGTATGTGTTGTGTGGAAATCCTCCCCGAAGAGGTGGTTCAAACTTGATTTGAAGCTTTCGTGACTGCAGGAATTACTCAATTTCTCTCCCCCTACCGCTCTCTAAATTTTACTAGATTTGTCAACTTCCAATTTCTCTCCTCCTACCGCTCTCATTGACATACTAATTTCTCTGCCCCCCCCCCTCTCTCTATACATAATGCCGCGTCACAGAGGCGGTTTCTCTGTGTGTCTCTTTCTGTGTGTGTGTCTATGTGTCTCTCCCCCATGTATGTCTCTCTCTGTGTCTCTGTGTGTTTGTCTCTCTCTCTCTGTGTCTCTCTCTGTATATGTGTCTCTCTCCGATCTTGCATTCATTCACACCTGATGACGGTTGCTTGTGTTGCAATCGAAACGTCGTATTCTATTTTTTATTTTATTTCTACGTGACATTACCGAAAGGACCAAAGAGTAATTCACACTAACATATATATTTTTTACAGAAGCTTTATAAATTTAAACCATTCATAGCATCATCATTTAAAGGATGGATTTGTCAATAAAATGCAGACTCATACCTACTCAACTGTTCGTTTAACATGTAGGCTTTCGCTACTAATATTATCCATAAGAGGTTTTTGGGTTAGATCACATAGATATAAATGCGTCATTAAATCCGCCACCACCGACACAATCAATTAGTAAGGTTTGTGATGTAAACAAATCATGCCAATTAGCTACCAGTTCGAGAGTAAACCCACGACATTTAAAATTCGAGTAACCGTGACTTTTCGTCGGTAATTACAACCACCAGCATCATCATGTGACGGCCAGAATTGTGGCGCAATCCACCTCCTGTTTTGGTTTTAAATAGAGGGGGTGAATGTCATAAATATGACTCTCCAACTGTGCTGTTGAAATGTTATTAATCAAGTCAGTGGCGTGGGTGGCATTGCGTGGGGGGGGCCTGCTCAAGGAATAGAATGGGGCCTCCTGTTCAACCCCCAGCACCTGGGGCCCTCTCACACCCCGTAGGCCCTGCTGCAGTTGCAAGGTACTGGTCAACGTTTCTCTTAAACGCTACCGTGAACACTGTTGGGTAGCAGCCGATGGTCATCTTTTGCAGGGATAACAACAATTACACGGCGTTTAGGCCCACTTTGTCGAAACCGTCCGTAGCCGCGATGCGTTAGAAAACGCGGAAATTCATCTGTTTCCATACTTTCATTGCATATGTTTGGGATCACAGCTCACATGTTGTGGCGTTGTTTTTTTTTCTACTGGGAGTCAAGGTCTGGAATGCAGTGAACCGATTCATCCCCGCAAGCAGCAGCAGTGTTCTCATTCATTTATTACCATTACTCGGACACTTACCGGAGCTTCACGATTGGGAAAACATGTGGAAAAATACTTTGCTCAATTTTTTTTTTACCCATAACCGAATTTGGCCTCATAAACTATTCGGTCAGCTCGAAGTGGTTCAAAGAGCTCTGGAAACTCCAGATGCAGTACGATGGGACAAAATATCATCACACGCACTTATGACACCAATGTGCTGGCAATATTTATCGACGCCGTAATGATTGACTATTGTCGCTGGTTTTGTATCCTTGGTGTCAGTTTCCCGTCACTCTTTTCTATTTACAGATCGTGGTTAGGCATCCAGTCAGAGATGTACATATTTTTAAACTTCTTTCGCACCGTATGTAGCCAACCGAGCTAATCGGAGGTGCGATTCATTGATTGGTTTCATACTTTAAATATATTGTTTTTATCCCCTTACATTTAACTTTGTTCCTTGCAACTATTTTCATTTATTTTTACTCACTAGAAATGAACGCACGTGGCTAGCGCTCAGTAAAACGGCGTGTTTGTCGTGCGAGAGGAAATTGGAAGTGAACCGAGGGACAAGAGAAACGCAGCTAGGGGCTTTGCACGGCACAAAGTTCACCTCCCAGAGGTCACTGCCCCACAGCTCCCCCCCCTTTCATATTCCTTCCAACACGGCCCCTCCCCTCGGTCCCTATAGCCCCCGCGTTTAGCGTCAGAACAGACACCACGAGTGCAATGGTTTCACTGTGTGTCTGTCTGTCTCTGTGCATGGCAGAGTGGGGAGCGGTAGTGTAGTGGTTAGCGCTACGCTGCGCTATGAACCCGGTGACCCGAGTTCGATTCCCGCTCGCGGCAAACACCAGTGGTGATTATCTGAACCAGTCTTGGGCTTCCCCTTGGAAGACTCATCCTCAAATGAGTACCTGGTACAGTGTGTTAAAACATTGGCATTGGGGAGACAAAGGCGGCCTGGCGTGGTGCTGGTCACCCACCCCCTCGTGTACCATGTCGGTCTTCATAGGTGCTTGCTAACAATACTTGCCCTAACAGTCTGTTAAGGCTATAGGGGGGATCTTTTCTCTTTGTGGAGAGAGAAAATAGCATAAGAATTAGTTTCCTAAACCATCACCCAGTGGAAACTGCTGAACTCATGCCATTCGCTTTGCTGGCACACATAAGTATATTCAGATGCTGCTCAGAGAACCAGGTTGAGGAAGACAGGACACCATACATGATTACGTAACATGTCTGATTATGTAACATAATTACATAACATACATGTGAGAAAGAATGATGCTTTCATGCTGACATACCAACAAGGCTGGCATGTCTACACGCTGACACATGTTGATATACTGCGCTGACATGTCAACATGTTTACATACTTGATCACAAGTCAATGTGTCATACCAACATGCTTTCATACATGATCACATGTTAATGTGATGCCTCACCAACATCCCTGCATACATGGAAACATGTACTCATTTGAGGTTGAGCTCAAGACCACAGTCATCCTACCCATGAGTGGTCGTCCTACCAAAATCTCTCCAAGAACAAACTGTAAAATCATCAAGGAAGTCACAAAGAATCCCAGAGAAATCCAAGTATCTGCAGGCCACTCTGGCCTTGGCTAATGTGAGTGTCCATGACGCATCCATCAGAAAAAGACTGAACAAGAACGGTGTTCATGGAAGGATAGGAAGGAGGAAACCACTGCTCTCCAAAAATAACATTGCTGCTCATCTGATGTTCGCCAAAGAGCACATAGATTATCCGTGAGCTGAAGCTGAACCAAAAGTGGGTCTTGCAGCAAGACAATGATCCTAAACATACAAGAAGCTCTGCAAAAGAATGGCTGCAGAAGAAGAAATTATGCGTTTTACAATGGGCCGAGTCAAAGTCCGGACCTAAACCCATCGAAATGTTGTGGCAGGACCTGAAGCGAGCTGTCCATGCAAGGCAACCCTCAAATGTCACCGAGTTGAAGGAGTTCTGTAAGCAGGAATGGGCCAAAATTCATCGAATCCGATGTGAGTGACACTGACCAACGGTTACAGGAAAAGCTTAGTGGCAGTCATTGCTGCTCAACGGGGTGTCACCAGTTACTGAATCTAAAGGTTCACATACTTTTTTTCATACGCGGTTATGGAATGTAGAATCATTTGAAGATAAATAAATCTTGAAAGAGTATCATGTTTCTGTGTCATTTAATCAGAGCGAGGTGGCTCTCTGTGCGCAGCTCTAGCGGGGCCCCCACACAAGGCCGCGCGGGCAGAGCAGCGCGTCGGCTAAACGCAGAGGGGCAGCGGGAAACTCGTTGTTGATGCCGCCAGATTTAAACCAGGGCGAGAGGAGAGCACGTGGCTGGAGACGACCGTGCGAGGACATGAACGTGGTCGGGTTTCATGCACAATCGATGACCACATTTCGCGCAGCGTCCCACGGTTAACTCGCGCAACGCATCCTCGAAGTTCCGATTACTAGCTGCTTCGTCGCTGTACTTAGTTGTGATGTTATTGTTCTTAGTCGTTTTGTGACCCAGGTCACTCTAGCAAATGAGACCATCCTTGCCTAAAACGTAAAACGCGATGCTCGATTTCTCTCGACATCGTTCCTTCACGGATCACCCACTGTGAGTCGCCCTCCCGGATGTGATGCGAGCAGCGCGGTGCGATGTCGTTTTAACTCTTCTTGCCCCTGATCACTGAACCACACTCCTACATTTCACAACTGTACTGGATTTAAAAACAAATATATCGTAATAAAAATATAAATTCAGCAACTAATAAACTACTCTTATATACGTGATGTTATGTTGTAATTGGTGCTTAGTGTTGTTGTTGCAAAGTGGATGATACAGTGTTTGTTACATTTAGATGGTGAATTTGGCATGCCTGAACCATCCCCTGCAAAAGTGAAGGGTGCCTCTGTGTTGTGTGCACTGTGAAACCCTTTCATAGTGTCACAGTGATTCACACAAACAGTGTGAATCTCTGCGACAGTCTGTTTGTGTGCACTGTGACATTGTGAATCACAGTGGCAGTGTGACAATATGCATCAATGTGATAGTGTGACAGTGTGAATCACTCACAGATGATTGTGTGCCCATCCTCAGCCACACACAGCCTAATGGGAAGGCCTTTGTCGTCATACACCACATTTCCGTCTTTTGTAAACAGGAGGTTTTGTTCCGTGTCAATCAGCTAATGCGTACATGTGAAGACACACGTACACACACACACACACACGCAGAAACTGTGTTAATACTATATATACAGGTCAAATGTCAACCCTTTGTAACAAAGACTGTATGGGAAGGTATGTTTTTATAGATATTTCAATTGACTTAACTTTTAACAACCAAAAACATGCTAATCGCTTAATAAATTTACATCTAACTCATATTGACTTCGACTGAAAACCAAGAAAAGCTTAAAAGAGCTACAAAATCACACAACACTAACTGGCTGCGGCCCAAACATCCTTAAGCTGAAACATTGCCTGCTAATTACTCTATTGGGATTACACACAGCAGCAGCAGCATCCTGTGGAAGAAAAACTTGGCAGGACCCTCCTGAACAAGACTTGAGCCTCATTAAGGCTTTACTGGGTAAATAAGCACAAGTAATAAATAATAAGACTGTATTCATCCCAGGTACTCTCACATGATTCACACACAAGTTGGTGATATTTTGTCCACGCGCAGTGGTGCGCGGTGCACGGAGCCTCGCTCGATGCTTTAATGGAAAGTTGGCGGCATGGGAAAACCCTTACAGCAGAAAGCAAAACCAGATGTGGAGGGAATGCAGAGTGAAACTAAGAGGCAGGGAGCCAAGGGCTCGGGCCAAGGAACTCGTGTGTGCCTTTTTAATTGCACGCAGAATGCCATGGCACACATCTCAGGCTCCTGGCACAAAGGTTTAAAAGCAGGAGCCCCCCCAAACCTTCTTAAATCACATCGACGTCGCAAATTTCTGGCCCATTTTCTCAAGGAGCATGTTCGAGGTTGAAAGTTGAACAGACTAAACTGCCCGCTGGACGAAAGATTTAAAGCGATGGCGTACCCACAGGTGACCCGTCGAGCCGTCGGGCTGCGCGGGACTTGGACCGGTGGTGGGAGCGGGAAATTCCATGAGCGGCGGTGGCCCAAGGTTGGCCCCGTGCGCCTCCGTGCGCCGTTGCGTTGGCGTCACTTTCTCATTCCTGCGACGCTGCTGGAGCCTTTCGCCGCGTCCGGGCAGCGCCTGTTTGTGAGTCCACTCCGAGGGACGCAGCCCACGTCTCTCGGTCTGCTGGTTTGCCGAGCTCATGGAATGGTCCTCTGAAATATATGCAGATCATATTACGTGCTCAGGGTGAGAGCTCCTTTCCAACGAAATCGTAATCATGACGGTTGAAGGTTCCTGAAGGGTCACACTATATATACGTAAATATATAAACATTTACAATAACGCCGTAATATAGAGGTTTTTGGGTTAGATCGCATAAATATATAAATGTGTCGTTAAAACTCGCCACCACCCGACACAGCCAACTAGTAAGGGTTGTCATGTAAACAGAACATTCCAATTCGTCACCAGTACAGCACACCGGTGTGTTGGAGAGCCAAGCCACAACATTTACAAACTGAGTATGACGTTTCGCTAGTAATTACAACCAGCTTCATCAGGCGACAGCCAGATTTGTGGAGAAGTCTTACTGTTTCGTTCCTTACATAGAGGCGTAGATGCCTACAAAGGGCAGCGTACTTCAATAAGGATTACCGTTGCTTGGGCTATTTTAATAAACACAATATTCAGGAAGGACAAGTTCAAAGGGCTCGCATAATGCACATGCATAATGTACGTTGCCTCAGTAATCCCCCCCCCCCCCCCCCCCCACATTGTGCAAGAGCGCAGAAGCGTGGTCACCACATCTACGCCTCTATATAAGGAACAAAACAGGTGGACTTCTCCACAAATCTGTCTGTCGCCTGATGAAGCTGGTTGTAATTACCGGCGAAACGTCGTACTCAGATTGTAAATGTTGTGGCTTGGCTCTCCAACACACCGGTGTGCTGTACTAGTGACGAATTGGCATGATCTGTTTGCGTGACAACCCTTACTAGTTGGCTGTGTCAGGTGGTGGCGGGTTTTAATGACATATTTATATAATCTTGATTTGAAAATTTCGTGACTGCAGGAATCCATACTCTTTGGTTCTTTCGGTAAAATCACGTAGGTAGAAAAAATAATAGATCACGATGTTTCGATCGCAACACAAGAAATCCAACCCAAAAACCTCTATTATGCACAATATTACTGCAACAGTAAATCACCACCAGCACCAACAGCGCCGCCGCGGAATGCGCCGTGACACGTGACCAACGATGGATGCAGCGCGGCCGGCAGTCGCTGGGCAGCTGAGATCAGCACTCGCAGGGCTCGACCGATCTCGACCGAGTTCAAGTTGAACTAAGTCAACAAAGGCAATGCGAACACAATCGTTTTATAGTAACTCTCGTTACTTTATGAAACGAAACTTCACAAGATTTACGTTCACTTCAAAACCAGGAAGAGCAACTATTCATTTAAATTCAATAACAGAGTATGGATCCTTGCAGGCAAAAAAGCTTCAAATCTAAATTTCAAGGGTACAGTATATTTATTCTAGTAGTGGTATTCCAAACTCCCAGGGTGGTGTATTATCATCTTGTGCTAATTCCAAGCTTTGTCAGTGGTGCGTTTCATGCTAATTTCCTTTGTCAGGGCGTTTGCTGTTTGCCCCCTCACAGCTTAAAGGGAGGCGACCAGCGCTTGGCTTTCTTCACTCCAACGCTGTCCGCTGGACAGGTTAGTCCCTTCACCTGATGAAGGCCGCTTGTGTTGTGGCCGAAACGTCGTGATTTTTGTTGTTTAAATTTTTTACCTACGTGACTTTACCGAATAGAACCAAAGAGTATGGATCCTTGCAGTCACGAAAGCTTCAAATCTAGAACAGTTTATTCTTTTTTTGGCTTCACAACTACACGTGTGCTCTCGACTGATATTATTTTCCTATATTTGTTTGTTACTTAACAACGGCTTGCAACAATTTCCGATATATTTCCTTACTTGTGCCTTGCATATGTAGTGACTGTGAATGTCACTGTGTGGTGTCGGGCTTACGAAGCCACGGCGGATAATGTGTTGGCATTATGTGTAGCCCACTTACCAGCCCTAGCGGGGCTTGGGTGAGTGCTGGTCAGTGCGGAGGCACCGCGTACAGTGTGCGGTGCGGGCTCCCGGTGAGGGAGCGAGAAGGAGTGTCAGCCAGCCAGGGTTACGTTGGGGAATGGTACGCTGGTTGACCTGCCAACACGTGACCGGATGATATTGGAGGGGGGCCACCGGTGGTCAAGGGCCGCTGGTATAAATGAGCTCTCGGGAGCCTTCGGGAAAGAGCTCGAGAGATCTAGAAGGTGGGCGGGGCGAGGGGCGGAGCCAGCCCAGGCCAATATAACGGGGACCCCGTGAGGGGCGCAGGGTTCTTCGGGTTGCTGGTGAAGACGATATACGTCGGTGTTAACGAAGCCTCTAGCCACGCAGTTCAGTACCCAGCTTGTGGTCCGGGCCGGGATAGCGAACCGTGTCTAGTTCTGCCGTAGCGTGGCTAGATGGGCATTCAACACCCAAGTGTAGGTTGTGTTATGTTATGTTGAGTTGGTGAAATAAAGTGTTGCTCCCAAGACGTCTGCGACTCAGTTGGACTCACTACACATATTCCCCAGGTCTCTGGTAACAGATAAAGGGACTCTCAACCTGCACAATCGCATTAATACAGCAGTTATGATTTCTAGTCGTCACGTCCGTGTTCAATTACCCTCGGGATGTGCTCGTGCGTACGTGCGTGTCATCACAGGCGTACACCACGGCCCGTCCTTCTCTCCTTCGGAAACGCGTGCCGATATTTCGTAGTGCGTCCCTGGTGTCACATGGGTGATGATCACGCGCGGCGCCATCGCCGTTTGGTAGTACCATGCCGCAGCAGGCGTCATTTGCCGGTAGCGAACGGTGTAGAAGCTGTGAGAGTGGAAGAGGAAGGCAAAATTGACATCACAAAAATGTAATGTTGAGGTAATCATTCAACACACGTACAACAACACATTCGGTGGAACAACAAAAAAGATATCAGCTATGATGGCAGCCTTCACGTTGAATGTGCCCTATTCCTCATATACCTAACCCAGTGGTGAAAGCGTTTGGTTGTGAGGCGTAAACGTGCACCGGTGGGAAGAAATAAACATTTCTCTCGTGAGGCGCTCACCCCAACACGGGCAGTGCCAAACCGTAATTGGTCAAATAATTCTGACATTTCTAACGTGTGCACTTTTACCTAACGCTGTGAGAATTCCCAGCACAAACCGAATTAACTTTTCCTATTACAGTAAACCCTCGCTGTGCGCGCGTTCTGGATTTGCAAGTTTCGCATATTCGCGAGCTATCCAATGTGTATTCATTCCCTATGCGCGACGCGCCAGACACCAGTATTCGCGAACGTGCGTAGTGCCAGACCACCCACACCGGGGAGGTGCGTGCAGAATGTGGTTACATTTGAAGCTGTCTGCGAAGATCAGGCACACCCCCTCGGCTGCACAATGTGTTCTCGGTCTCGGAGTAATCCCGCTCTGAACTGGCTATTGTGCATTTTTTACTTCATATGGACTTACAGTCGTCTCGTTTATACATTTTGGTATAAATAAGTCGACTATGAGGTCCATTAAAAATAACGCAAATCCAACCGGGGAAAGTGCTGCGGCTCGCGCTCCCCAGAGTGCTAAAATGATAACTGTGCGATGCTATCAAACAACAGCATGTCCTGATGAGTCATCCTTCTGAATTAATCACCATCACCACCACCACCTCCAGCGTTGTCAAATCATAATCATCATCAAAGGAAAAAAAACATTGTTCTTTAAGATGTATTATTTATTATAGTCATTGTCATTAAACATTTACCATTTCCCCCCATGTTCACTCGTACCAGGAACGTATCCCAGTTCTTTTCCAATTGGAGCAACGTTTCTGCATTCGCGAGCGCTTTCAAGAACATAACCCTCGCGGATAGAGAGAGAGTTTACTGTATTCATTCGAATGGTTTCTCAGGAAGCCAAAAAAAGGGTACGGCTGCAAAAAGGGGCTGGGGGCTGAAGAGATGATAAATGTCCAGGGCTAAGGAAAGGCGAAACACCCAGGTTGATCCATGAGCAGTATCTCTGCCAAGAGGAGATGAAGGTTTCTGCCTGTCAGTAATATTGCTGCAGAAAAATGTCATGTGAGGATGGAAATAGAAACTTTCCTTAACTATCACAATTGTAAATTAAAAACGTTCATATGAAATGAGTATTTAAAAAAATGTCCCCTTCACGCTAGCCTTATGCACTTTGGAATATTCACGGATAATTAACAACTCACGATACTGTTTGGTTCTTTCGGTAAAGTCACGTAGGTATAAAAATATATATCACGACGTTTCCATCGCAACACAAGCGGTCGTCCTCAGGCAGAAAAAATAATCCAGCAGTGGAACTGCTGAACCAGCGAGAGAGCTGTTACAACAAGAGGTTATTTATGTGGCGATGGGCAAGCAAGCGAGGTCTGAGCTGGAAGGAATTCCATCCCCGGACACAAGCACGTCAGTTGTATTAATGGGTGAGATTAGGGAAAGAGAGATTAGGGATAGAGATTAGCATGAGCTTCCGTCGCCGCATAAGAGTATCATCCCCGCATATGCGCACAACAGCAGTGTTAATGGGAGATTAGCACTATGTTGATGGGAGATATTAGGCAGGGAGATTAGGGGGATTAGTAAGTTAATGTCATGTCTATGTGTAACACAAGCTGCGGCGCTGCCAACTGCGATGTGAGGCAAGCGCGTCCACGCAAGGGAACCACCGCTACGGTGGTCGCGCCAGTGAGACACAAAGCCCATCACACAGCCAGAACCATCGATACATCGAGGCTAAGGGAGCAGAGGTGGCCATGTTATTGAGACCCCAGCCCGTTAATGCAGAGGCACCTAACAAGGCAATACAACTCAGAGAGTCGGAGATAACAGCCAAACGGCATGGCAGAATGGAAGCACCACAGCAAGTTACGACTATGCTTATACCCATCTTCTCGGGTTTGTGTTTATATATCTGGATGGCTTCATGGACAAATCTTTGAATGTAGACAGAAGGTTTGCAGAGTACCTTGATCTCGGAAAAAACAATATCGTGCGAGCCCACTTCGTTATAACAATGATCAGCCACTGCAGAGGTATTGGTTCTGCCATGTCTCAAATCTGCCTTGTGTTCGCGAAGATGGTCCGAGACATGTCGTTTCGTTTCCCCAATGTAACTGCTGCCGCAGACACAACTTAGTTTGTAGACACCAGGGTATTGCATGTGTAATACAAGAGTACACAAACGGTCACTGATCGGTGGGATAGGCTCCGCCGCTTCAGCCATTAGCCAATCAGGTGGATGGGATCATCTGGGCCAAGTTCAAGGGAGGAGCTCAAGGGTGTTCGTAAGGAACCATCTGGAGGGTTCGAAAGGGGGCGTGGCTAGAGGCGGGGCTTGGTGACACATGAGGGGGTTATAAGGGGAAGCAGGAAGAGGCTCGGGGTCAGTGTGGGAAGTCTGGAAGTAGGAGCATGTCTCGCGCCTCCGGAACGCCAGCGGCCACGTGGCGGTCCGGAGGCTGTCTCCTTGCGAGCCGCCTGCCAGTGGTGCGCGGGAGCGGGGAGCGTGAGCGAGCCGTGCGCCGGACGACAACAACTCACACCGTGGAACGCGGAGCGAGCGGTGCTGACGTGGGAGGAACGCGGAGCTGTCCAGCCATCGAGAAATAAATAATAAAAAGACAAGTCCAAGACCGTCTTCGAAGTGCTTTATTACACATGTCAGGAATGACATCCTTCACAGATGGGATCAAATCACGGATTATGTACTGTATTGAATCGGACCTAGATCTTGTGTTTGCTTAAGATTTTGGAAATCTTTTTGGTAACACCTACTATGGATGGCAAGGTGATGGTTTTGATTGGATCCTCGGATGGTTGTCTCCCCATGGTTGGGGCTACAGCTTTGCGGATTGTGCGGTCTGAGTATCCATTCATCTTGAGGGCTTGGTGTACGTGCTCCAGTTCACTGGCAAGGTGGCGCTGGTCGGAGATGCAGCGGGCCCTGTGGTGTAGTGTTTTGATGAGGGAGTTCTTCTGGGCTGGATGGTGGCGGGAGTCAGGCTTGAGATAGGAATCTGTGTGGGTGGTTTTCCTTGTAGAAGGAATGTCCCAACGAGCCATTAGGGCTTTCTCGATCAAAACATCCAGGAATGGTAGCTTGCCATAATTTTCCACTTCCGTGGTGAATTTGATGGATGGGTGTATGGAATTGATGTGGTTGAAAAAAATAGTTCAGTGCTGGCTGGCCATGTGGCCAGATGACATGTGTCATCTATGCATCTCATCCACAGGGAAGGACGTAGGGTGGATATCAGGATGGCATCTGTTTCAAATTTCTCCATGAAAACATTCGCTACCACTGATAATATGGGAGAACCCATAGGGGTACCTTCATTTTGTTTGTAGAATGTACCATTCCAGATGAAGTAAGTGTTGGAAAGGCAGTGCCTCACCAAAGTTGGTACATCAGGATTCAGTCCCTGTTGGACCAAGTCTTCAATGATTGCTATGGTGTCAGGTAAAGGTACCTTGGTGAACGGAAAGAATATAAGTGCTTTATTACACATGTCAGGAATGACATCCTTCACAGATGGGATCAAATCACGGATTATGTACTGTATTGAATCGGACCTAGATCTTGTGTTTGCTTAAGATTTTGGAAATCTTTTTGGTAACACCTACTATGGATGGCAAGGTGATGGTTTTGATTGGATCCTCGGATGGTTGTCTCCCCATGGTTGGGGCTACAGCTTTGCGGATTGTGCGGTCTGAGTATCCATTCATCTTGAGGGCTTGGTGTACGTGCTCCAGTTCACTGGCAAGGTGGCGCTGGTCGGAGATGCAGCGGGCCCTGTGGTGTAGTGTTTTGATGAGGGAGTTCTTCTGGGCTGGATGGTGGCGGGAGTCAGGCTTGAGATAGGAATCTGTGTGGGTGGTTTTCCTTGTAGAAGGAATGTCCCAACGAGCCATTAGGGCTTTCTCGATCAAAACATCCAGGAATGGTAGCTTGCCATAATTTTCCACTTCCGTGGTGAATTTGATGGATGGGTGTATGGAATTGATGTGGTTGAAAAAAATAGTTCAGTGCTGGCTGGCCATGTGGCCAGATGACAAGTGTCATCTATGCATCTCATCCACAGGGAAGGACGTAGGGTGGATATCAGGATGGCATCTGTTTCAAATTTCTCCATGAAAACATTCGCTACCACTGATAATATGGGAGAACCCATAGGGGTACCTTCATTTTGTTTGTAGAATGTACCATTCCAGATGAAGTAAGTGTTGGAAAGGCAGTGCCTCACCAAAGTTGGTACATCAGGATTCAGTCCCTGTTGGACCAAGTCTTCAATGGGTATAAGCTGAGCAATCATTGGAAGGATGTTATTAACCAAGCAAAGTCGTAACTTGCTGTGGTGCTTCCATTCTTCCCTGCCGTTTGGCTGTTATCTCCGACTCTGAGTTGCATTGCCCTGTTAGGTGCCTCTGCATTAACGGGCTGGGGTCTCACTAACATGGCCACCTCTGCTCCCTTAACCTCTATGTATCGATGGTTCTGGCTGTGTGATGGGCTGTGTGTCTCACTGGCGCGACCACCGTTGCGGTGGTTCCCTTGCGTGGACGCGCTTGCCTCTCACAGCGCAGTTGGCAGCGCCGCAGCTTGCGTTACACATAGACATGACATTAACTTGGAAATCCCCCTAATCTCCATGCCTAATCTCTCCCATCAACATAGTGCTACTCTTACATTAACACTGCTGGGGATGATACTCTTATGCGGTGATGGAAGCTCATTTCATGCTAATCTCTCTCCCTAATCTCTCTTTCCCTATCTCCCTCATTAACACAACTGACG